GCGCTTCACTCCGCCTCTGCGGAGTCCTTTGCTGGCTTTCCTGGCCTTTGATGACTGGGCTAATCGCTCATTCCCGCAGCCAGGCTTGCGCGCTCTCAGGAGTCCTCCTCTGTGTCGGCCCCAAAGCCTCGAACCTGCTGCCCCTTGTTTGTCGATGTAGGATCGTTGTTGAAAGTGTTATTCGCCTTTTGTTGCTCTTGGAAATGCAATCAATACTCTGGTATCACAGCGCACGGCTCACAGGATCGCGCTGTCTCTGCATGTTGGATTTTAACCCAGGAAGGTGAGCACCACTACCTGCCCTCACCAGGATTTAAGGAAGTAGATTTGTAACTAGTATATTACACCAAGGTCTAGGAAATACCTTGCTCAAAAGAAACAGAATCCATAGCTAAACCAGTCAATGCCACATACACCTCAAGTGAAATATGTGACTGTGATGTTGGAATTGTGCAGGAGAGAGTTTAGTCGAAGATTAAAGGAAAGAGGGAGAGTGGGAATACACTGGAGACCACCCATCCAGATGGAGGAAGTGATGATGTTTCTGATTTGCTAATATTTTGTTTAGGATTTTTACACCTGTATTCATGAGAATGAATGGCCTATTCTTTAAATTCCCTTTTCAGACTTCGATATCAAGGGAAATGCTCCCCATGTATTTGTTTGTTTGTTTTTTGGTAGAGGAGATTACATTTGATTGGTGTTATTTTTCTTTAAATGCTTGGAAGAATGGAGGGAATCATCTGGGCCTAATGGTTTTTTTGTAGGAAGCTTTTATATTAGTGTCAGTTTATTTAAAAGGTATTGGTCTATTCAGAGTTTTTATTTCTTCTAGTGTCAGTTCTGTTAAGGTTTGATTTTTCTAGGGATGCATCATTTTGTCTGAATTTCAAACATTGATAATATAAAGCTGTTTGTAGCATCTTCATATGACTTTTTTAGTGTTTGTATGATCTCTAGTGATGTTCACTTTTTTTATTCCTGACATCGATAGTGTGTGCCGTCTCTTATAACTGCTTTTGGAAAAGATCAGTGGATCTTTTTTTTAAAAAAAGCTGCTCTCTCCTCCTCAATTATTCCCTCTTCTGGAGGTGTCCTGCTGCCACCAGCTTCTGAGCCTTCTGGACACTATCAGTGAGGTTTCTCTGGGCTTCCCCACTGCTGTCTCAGGATTCAGTTTTCTTGAGTATGCTGTCATTTGGCATTGGGCTGTTTGCTGTATAGTTTCCAGAATTTCATTGTTGTTATTCTTATCCTTGTGAGTTTATGTCTGTGAAAACAGAACCAGAAAACCTTCTTTGTGGTAATATTAGGAGGGTTTCAGGATGGCGTGAAAGTTGAAATGCAAGTGTGTCTGTGAGCTGTATGCTCTTGGAAGCTCCTCAACTGCTCCCTCCTTCCTACCAAGCTGATGGGTGCTGGCGTGCATACGTGATGATGCTACACCAACAGGGTCTGTGGAAACCTACGTGTCCGGCTTTGCCATTTAAGCTTGATGTCTGGCATAGACTTTGAATGTAGATAGCTTATCAGAGAGTGAAAAATATTCTTTTCTAATCACCGTTTTGGCCTTATTGAGGGTAATATGGAAGCAGTTAAGGAGTCTGTCAAGCTGGCATTCAGGAAAAGAGGTACGTTCTTAACACCTGAACAGAGTGCTCTGAAGAAGAGATGTTCAGGGGGAATCTGCCGCTTGTCACTTCTTCCCTGTAATAGCTATTTTTCTACCTTCACCATTTGCTGTATTTCATTTATTTTGCAGTGCAGCCACAATTTGGCTTTCACGTTATTAGTTTTATCACTTTTCAGATTAGACATTTCTTTTTCTGTCATTTAGAAAGATTAATGTAATCTGTGCCTCTGTTGGGTCGATGTTTCAGGCATTTGTTTTTTTCTCTCCTCAAAGTTGCCAGTGTTCTCTTCTGTTATTTTCGTGTTTTTAGGACCACCATTGCCAGTCTCACAGGCTCCACAGAAAGACTGTTTTACTAAGAATTTCAGCAAAAAAAAATGTCTCGTGTGGACAGAAACCATTGTACACTGCGTACTCAGAGTTAAAGATGAAATGTTAACACTAAACATATACATATGATATATATGATTCTTTTTCTTTACGCCACAATTTTATATTTTCTTAGACCCAACAAGGTACAGGAAATGAGCAATAAGTTTAGAATGAGAAAACATTGGTTGAGGGCCGGCCCGTAGCTCACTTGGGAGAGTGTGGTGCTGATAACAACAAGGCCGTGGTTGAAATTTTGATTCTTCTACATACTATTATTTGATCATGGGTAGTTATGATATAAAACCACTATCCTCAAAGCTAGATATTTTGTTATTATGTTCACTGTTGTATTTCTCTGTTGATTAGTTGATATTCAGATTGAAAGACCATTGTAGCTAATAAGAGGTGGTACATTATCGAATGTTTATAAAAGGTTCTTCTCATTTTATAATGCCAGTTTTTTTTTTCTTAGTTCATGTGTAGGAAATACCACTCACGAGGTATTTTTTCTTATTCTAAAATAACATTTAATACTTTTGTATTCTTCATTTGGTATCAACTGATTTAATGTTGAATCCTATTCATTGTTTTATTACTATTTATTAAAGTCCATCTTTAATAGGGGAAGGTGTTTATAGCACATATGCAACTTAAAAAACGGAAAGCAAATTTTGAAAGCATTTATATTCAGGAATTTAATGTTAACTCTGATTTTTTAAAAAATTTGTCATACAGTGAAATTTTCTAGATGGGCAGAGACCTTGAGACTGGCACATTCCCTGAAAACAAGTGACCCCAGTCTTTCTTATATGAGTTTAGACTCTTTATCCACAAACAGCTTTTCAGGGTGCTCCAAGAATGCAGATTCCTTGAGCATCTTTAAAATAAAGAGTGTCAAGACTGAGAAAGGGGGACGCCGAACAGCCACCAGCAGGAGCGTTGAGGCCTGGCCCATTGTGTTGTCGTACCTGGCGGCCACCATCAAGCACTAGGCTTCCCCCTGTCGCAAACCAGAGTGCAGTAACTAAGGCAGTGTGGGCTGCAGCCTGCAGCATCTCCGAATGCCTGTGCCTGGTCCCAAGCACTCACCACCTCAGGTAAACTGAGGCAGAATAACACGAACGACAGTATTTCTAGGTGACGTATTTCTCACTGTGCTTAATATCTGTGTAAGATGATCCCATAGAGCTATGAGGAAAAAATTCATTTAACACCCATCTTAAACACAAGACACGTGTGTGGCGATTATATCTTCAGACCCCATTTTGGTCCCTTTTATGAAGAACTGTTGGAGAAGAACGGAAGGAAATCGATTTTGAGGAAATTAAATCTTTTTCTGAAATAGAATGGTGGTTTTTAAAACAAGCAAAAGTGGGTTAACTGGATGCTAATTACGAGCTGCGCCTTGTTCTGCTCGCTGACGCAGTCTGTGCCTTTCTCTCTGCTGCCTGCAATTTTAAATATTTTAAAGAGCAGATGTGCCCTGCTCATGGGTTCGTGTCAGTGCTGGCGTGCTGTCTGCCGAGCGGGGGCCACGCGCCGTGCTCTGTTGACTTTGTCCTCTGTTGCTCAGCTTCAGACAGCAGAGTCCTGACATGTGCGGCCGTGTGGAGGATGCCGAAGGAATTGGAATCAAGCAGCCATGAGTCCCCGGACGATTCATCCAGCACCGCGCAGACCCTGGAGCTGCTCTGTCACCTTGACAACACAGCCCACGGCAACATGGCCTGGTAGGCGCTGCGTATTTTATACACCCAGAATGAGCCCAGAGCTTCGCACATCTTCCCTGCAGAAGCACTTTACATGCTTTCAGACCACTCCTTTCTTTTAAAAGGATGCTGTAAATCGATTTTTTTTTTTTTTTTACTCCTAGTTGTTTTCCAGATTAGTCACATTTGTAGAAACCTACCATATATGTAGTGAAAGAGCCTGCATCTGGTTCTTTTTCCTCTCCTTCTGAAATCAGTGTTGTCCACGGTGACCTGACAGAATAATAAAGCAGTCAGGTGCTGGACAGCACTTGAGAGTTTTATATTGCTTTTCTGCTTTGTAAATACACTGTTATTCGGCACTCAATGCATACATTATTTGTCACTTCAGGTTGAAGACATGTGATTTCTTCATCCTGTGGACTAAGTATGAACCCACGGTGTGCATGCCGTGCTGTAGCCCCAGCCCCCCATGTCCTTGATTTCATGTCATGTGGTATGTCAAGGGATGGAGAGATGTGACCACCATTCTCAAGGGTTCCCTGGCCAGTTATTGCGCAGTGTGGTTGGACAGTTTGCTGTGTCCACTCACCCGCTGCTCCCGGGGACCCTCTACACAGCAGTCAACAGCTGATATCTGGAGTCGCTGAGACTTTGGTAAAATTAAGAAGCTATGTCTTCTAGAAGGGACTGTGGGGACATAACGTTGTTATGGGTGTTGACAACAATAACAGTAATTATTGTTTTGCTTAATACAGTAACGTGTATGTCTGAGAGAAAGACTCCTATCCTCTGTAGTCAATTCTGTCTTAGTCACCTCTACCAATTAAATACATTTAATCCAACAGATACTTATTAAGCACCTGCTGCACACCCCCTGCCAGGCACCAGGGATGCCACAGTGATGGGTCAAGGGATGTTTCCTCAAGGAATCATGCTCTCCAGGGGAGACCCAAGTGTAAACAACCAACCATGGCAGAGCAGGCGGTGACACGCACCGAAATCACTATGAATCGTGTGCTGGGCCCCCCAGAGGAAGTGTGACTAATTTTCATTAGAGAAATTGAAGAGGTGTTCACTTAGGAGGTGACATTTGAGTGGGACTGAAGACTGGTCCATGTTTCTGTTGTCAGGTGTGGGCCTTGCAGTAGGGCAGGGCAGGGCTGCAGCTCAGGCACAGCTGGGGGCTCCAGAATGTCTTTTTTGTGTGTGTCAGTCTGTGCTGGATTTGTTTCTATAGCTGTTATGCTACTGCCAGGTCAAAGGTTATTTCTCTTACAGAGGTTTGCGGTGTTAAAATCACGCCCAGTCTTGCAGATTAAGGGGGTGAAGATGAGTCCCGAAGTCCCCAGGAGTGGCCGATCTCCTCAACACTGCCCTGGTGCAGCGCCTCTGTGCAAGGCATGGAACACCACTGAGTTCCACGTGTCAAACAATGACCACACCCCCAGCAAACAAACATTTGTGTGTGTGCGCACGCAGTGCGTATGTTTGGGCATGTGCCTGTGTGCACATGCATGCTTGTGAAATTTATTGGCTTTGGTACAATCCACCGACCTTACTTAGATCTCACATTTTACATGCGCTCGTGTATGAACACTTAGCTCTATGCTGTTTTATCACGTGTGGGTTTGTATAGCCACCGTCATAGTCTAGATACCAACAGCTGAACCCCAGGGATCCCTCATGCCGCCTGGTTATGGCCACAGTTGCCTCCCTTCCCCTGCCCTGTCCTTAACCCCTGGCAATCACTGGCCTGTACTCTATCCCTGTAATTTTGTCTTTTGAGAAACTTATGTAAGTGGAATTACACACTGTGTAACCTTTGACGCTGACCTTTTTACTCAGCTTAATTTCCTGGAGGTTCGTCCGAGTTGTTGCTTAATTCCCAAGCTGCTGCATGGGTCAACCCTAGCTTGTTCTTTCTCGTGCTGAGGAGCGTTCCACAGCACAGATGCACCGTGGTTGTTTGACCACTCACCTGTTGAGGGCCACTGGGCTTTCCCCAGTGGGGGGCTGTTACGCATGCAGCCCAGTGAGCATCAGCATACAGGCTTTGCGTGAACACGAGGTGTCACTTCTGTTGGCTGGAGGCCCTGGAGCACAGGCACGGGGCATGCCGTAAGCGTGTGTTTAGTGTTGTGGGGAGCTGCCTGCTCCTCTCCAGAGGGGCTGCATGCTTGGTGTCCTCTCTGAGTCCTCGCCAGCATTTGGTGCTGTTATACATGTTCTTCTAAGTATCTTCAGTGGTGTCAAAGTTTTAGTGGTATCTAATTGTGACAGGGAATTTGATTTTTGGAAATTTAAGTCTGGTGAGTACAGTGGAGGAGAAGGATGCTGATTGGGGCTAAACATAGGGTGATTGGTGGTGGTTTTCATTTGTTTGCTTTCCTTTTGGGCTAATAAATTGGCACTGAGAACAGCTCTGGGAGATGAGCTCCCAGACATTCCTGAGCAGCACTGCTGGCCTTTGAGGGTGTCCGTGAACACTGCAGAGTCAGGCTGCCCTTGACTGTCTTCAGCTTCTTTTAATGAGAACAGCAGGGTGGAGGAAGGAGCTTGTGGAAGGCCTGCGATCCAGTCTGCTCCATTAGAGCACTGAGGAGACTTGCTCCAGAGACTGGCCTGGGAAGCACAGAGCCTGGCGTCCCATCCTCACCTGCTCTTATGTGATAGTAGGATCCCTGGAAAGTCACCTGTGTCTTAGGTCAAACCTTCATCTCCGAAACGGAGATGATGTCTCACAGTTTCTGTGATGGTCATGTGGTGGTACCTCTATGTGGAAGTGCAGTGCTCACCGTTAAGAAAAATATGAAATAAGGCATGCATCAGACCCCTTCTGGCCCTGATTTTCCACAGTTCCATGCTGTCGTGGCAGAGGGCCCTGGGTCGAGGTTGGAGGAGTCTGCTGTGTTGCCAGCAGCACTTAGATGCTTGTGTCTGATTAAAGAGCTGTGTGGTTTCTTGGCTCAGCATCACCTCTTCTGAGAGGTCTTTCTTAACTGTTCTTTCTAAAATAATCATGCCCTACCTCCACCCTGGTACTTTCTGTCATTTTGCCCAGTTTTATTTCTCTTCATAGCATCTATCACCCTTCGGCACTCCCTGTCTCTGCTCACACTTATGTGTGATTTTCCCTGTGGACTCTGACTTTGCCAGGTCCAAGGCTGTGTCCTTAGCACCAAGGACAGCGCCTAACACAATTAAGCACCCCATGCATTTGAGTGAGAAAATGAATCAGTTGTAGCAGCAGTGACATCAAGGCATTCCCCTGGCCTGACCCCTCCGGGGCCTTTGTCTGCACCCCCTCATTTATTCCCACAGTGGCCTGCAAAGCACGGACCCTCCTTGTCTACCATCCCCAGGTGCCCGAGGTCATTCACTCCTGACCAGACTGTTTGGGAATCACAGCCAGATAGCCTGCCCCGCACTCCAGACACACTACAGAACTTCCTGCTCTGCACTCGGCATGCAACTCTGCATGGAGGAGACGGCAGACATGGAGGGCACGGTCCTGGGTCTAGCTTACATTTGTAGCTGGCCATTTGTAGCGCCTAATGTTGGGAAGTCATTTCTGTTTGGAAGTGGGGGTGATTGCAGAGATCCTGGTATTCTTTCCAATTCTGAATTTGTTAGATGCAGTGGTCTCTCTGACACTGAGTGTCACATACCTTTGTGTTTAATGAATCAAAAATAAATTACAGGCTCTCTTTACACCAGCCCTTTAGTATCAAAGTGGATGACACACCAGCTACTCTGGCCAAGGGAGCCTGTCTCAGAAGTAGGAGCTTCCGTAAGACCGGTCACAGCATGTTCCAGCCAAAAAGGACTTTAGGAATCATTCAGCTGAATTCCTTCCATGGATGAAGTCAGTTCAGCACAGAGCTGGGTTATGTGGGTGGAGCTGGACCCAAACCCCTGGGTATGCTTTTATCAAAGTGCACCCATCTGGGGTGATGTTTTCACCGTTTTCAGTGTATTCCACACCGTCATACTTTAGGTTATATGTGTTAACTGCCTTAAATTATTTCTGGATGTAGGTTAATAGCAGAATTAATAAATTTCTACCTTATTAAACAAACCAAGGCTGAAAGAAGTTAACCCCAGTGTCACACTTGTAATTGATATCAGTTTTCTTTTCTTGAGTAGATAAGTAAGGTCTTTTAAAAACTCTACCCTTTTGTGCTGTATGTGGCTGTTCTGTAAAGAAGTAGATTTCTCCTTGAGTCAGTGATTAAACTGATAGCTCAATGCATTTTATCAATATATAGAGTGTACACATTGGTAGTGACCGCAGGCCTGCCAAGTTCTCTGATGGTTCCTGGCACTTTGCACCTGCCCAGCTAATGCTTACACTAGCGACTTCTGGAGCCCTGATAAAGGGGTGGGTTCCTGGCACTCTGCAGGTAAGAGCAGGAAGGAGGTAATTGCTTCCTGAGAGCACCGTTCTCTGGTGTTGGCTCACTGTGGAGTTGTGCTGTTGAGTCTCCACAATGCATCATCATCACCGTTGGCTTGATGGCTGATTAGCCACAACAGGGTAATTTTATGGTTCTCCATCTCCTTTTGATGATAAAGAGGCTCTCCAGCTGTTCAAGAGTTATGCACCTTAGCTGTAGATTAATGCTCCCTGCTGGCTAGTGGAGGCAAAGTCAAAATAATAGAAACTTCGGCATATTCTTGTTGTGCTCCATTTCCCAAAGGGTGTGTCAAAAGTAGTTGTACAGATCACCTTGTTTTTTGGTTGATGAAAGTTTCCTTTAAAGGAGAAGTTACTAAAATCAGTAATAAGCAGCTTGTAACGGCAGCCATCTACCGCTTCCTCCCAGCTCACACCACCATGACCCAGGCTGTGGAGGGGCCCATGGGGCTGGTGCCGAGCCACGCCGCTCTCAGCATGCTGGGCCATCCCCTAGTGGCATGCCGAGTGCACCGGGCCGGCTGACCCTGCTTCCTGAGCCAGGTTCTGTGGGTAAATACCCCTTCAGTGTGGACGGAGGTAAATATCACACTGAAATGCC